TTCATCCCTCAGCCATGGGAAAAGAGACTTCAGGGTGCAGGTGTCATTTTTGCTTTCACAGAAGTTCCTGACCTCTTTTAGGCCTAGGTTAGTCCCAGCAAATCCCCTCGCATATTGCGATAGCGCCCAAATTTGATTAAAATTCCTATAGGCAACGTTTTGAAAAATAAGCAGTAGGAAAAGAAGAAAATAAAAATTGGAATATTCACCAGAAATCGTTGTCACTTTCCACAATAATCCTAACAGATAAACTCCCTCTGTGAGTGGATTCAATTTTTTTCGTGGTGCACAAAGAGCGTTTCGTACCCACAAACAAATCAGGCTAAAGAGTCCAGCCTCCACAAAAAGTAACACCCCTTGTGCGACTACCGTCACGTGGCAGTTGAGGCTTGCAATTAATCACGATAGACTAGAAATAACAGGTGTACAAGTTGTGTTGACATGGGAAAACAGGTGTTGTCGCCGGATTTGACGTGATGTCAACAATCGACAACTCATACAAACAACCGTTTTCTAGACGATGTTCTCGTACACACCCTCAATTGAAGCTAGGGAGGAGAGAGCTCATTTTAAGTTCGCCGAGATTTCCAAGAATTATTTAGTTACCATGAATACCTTGTTGTTAGTGATGGACCATCTTTAACTTTATTCATGGGGCAATAAACTAAACCTGGGTTCTCGTAGAAATGCCTTTAACACATTGCGTACCGCGTGCGCCACCATGTGGCGCACGATTTCAAGCGAAAGATCATAGTTTTATCTGATTTATTTGGCATTTTTCAATGCTCCTGAAGTGTTTGCACTCATTTTCAGAACCAGGAAAGCATAAGTATCATCACTGATAAAATTGTTGATAGATTAATGATGATTCGTTTTCAAAAACATGAAAAAGGTGCGGAGATACTCGTATAAGGGCGGTCCGCAATGTGTTAAACACTTCCGAACAGGGTGTCAGTCCTATCGTTGTTACTTTTCAAAAATTTTTACGACCCCCCTCCCCCAAGGTGGACTTGGTACGACCCCCTTTTCGACCTCGACCACCATATTCCTCTCTATAGTATTTAATTCTGGTACCACTCAACCCACAAAACTCCGCCCACTTTTTCCTCCAAAAATGCCGTCGAGCGGGGGGGGGGGGGGGTATATAGCCCCTATGAAACAGTAAAAATTTACCAAAATTCCCTAAATTTCAACCAATTTACCCCACTTTTACCTATCGTACCCATAATCATGCCCACTGCTTTCATTTTCTAGGGGGGGGGGGGTTCCAACTTCTACATTAGCCTACTTACGCGTCGAAAACTCACTTTTCACCACAAACTCACATGTACTGTTCACCGCGAGTGAAGCGGTACGACCCCCCCCCGTTGTTTACTGTTACTAACAACGTAGGGTGGACGGGCGTGACCCTGCTTCCGAAACATCGCAAGGAGTGATGAAGTATGGGCAAAACACTATGCCAAAATCACTTTAAGCATAGCTCAGAGCACATTTTGCGATTGAAAAGGTAGGACTCTCGCACTCAAAATTTGAACCTATGGGTGGTGTCCCTCGACTAGCAGTAATGGGAGGAAACCAAAGAAATTCTGCTAGTAATTTTTTCACCTGCGTATGGCGCCGATTGTACTGGGTGAAGTCAGCTCCCCCCCTGGGGCGACTCTCATGGGTTAACCATAATGCTCTAATATGGTAACTTTACGGTTAGGAATTTGGTTTCAACCAATGAAGACCGCCGCGAGCTGGCGGACGGCGCACACCACCCATACGACCAGCAAGTTATGGCGAAGGTCACTGTAAACAGTTCTTTTATTTCGCTCTCTTTTCACCACTAGTCGACGAACCAGCACAAATATTTTCATTTGTGGACCTAATGACCTACATCTGTTCAATTTCGGAATAAGCCTCCGAGCTGGTAAACCGTAGGTTACTAGTGCCTGACTATAATTTGAATTCAAGAATACCAGTCTAAATACATAATTCACAAGGTTACAATTACAAAATCAAAAATATGGTTGTATTGTGAAATGAAAATGGCGAAAAAAAAGCGGAGTGGATTGCACTGAAAAGTTCAAAATATAAAGGAACTTGAAGGAGACGTAAACTTAATTTTTCTTCGAAAATAAATTCAAAAAAACCCCCATGGCTTTTGATTGCTCGCAAATTTTGGTGTTTTTACAGACGGTGCTCGGTGTTTCTCATGCATGTCTCGGTTATATGAAGCTGTGTGGCCGTCGTTATCACATATCTACAAAGAGGGCCGAGGAATTTCACAGGTACGAAAAATCGAATTTCATAGTAATAGATTTTGTGGCAGTGCATAAATATGAGACAATACTCGTTACTGCTTGGCGATAGTTGCACAGCCCTTGCGTTACAAAAGGCACACCTTCGAATTTTTCTAGATTTGACTTCTTTCAAAGCAGATCAGGTGAGTAATTAGCTCACTACAGATCTCCGTCTTTGAGCTAACCGGAAAAGATACCTAACCCCTCGTTATCCATTCATGTAAGCGCTGTCTGCTAGTGCAGACCAAAACAACAACAAACTAAACATGGGCCTCTAAATATGATAATGTAAAGCGGCGGCGGCTCGAGGAGACCGTTATTAGAATGATAGGTGTAGGTGTTCACATGAAAAATTCTAATCTGATGGTGAGTGCAGCGCTAACGAATTGTCCGCACATCGTTACGTTGGCCCAAAATTGGACGATATGTTATGATTGGCTATCTCATCACTGACCTGTCCTATTGTTACAGAATTATTTCAGAGTTTTTCTAGAAATCATCGATAATAGTGATGCAAATATAAGAGAATATGAGATAAGAAAACACGAATTAAAAATCACAAAAACATAAAAGTTCATCTTTCTATGTTTTTAAAGTGAAACCATGAAATCCATCTATTCCAGATGACTGTAACGATGATCGGCTCGCTGAGGGACGAGTGCCAGCCGTTCATTGTGACACGATATGTGTGTCGATGTACGAGGCTCCCCTGAATATTGTGCAGCGTAAGGCACTTTCTGTGGCACATAAGGCCAAATAACGTGCAGAGCATGGCAAGCGTCAGAACTTCAAGTGAACTGAGGTGTTTGATGTTTTCAGGCGTTCGTATTTGTGGCTATATTCGAGGATGCATGAAGGACTCACGTGCTTATCAAAAGGTGCGGTTTTCACAGACATTCGTTAAGTTTGGTATCGATGGATGCAAAGAGACTCCTGTCGTCCGTACAGGTGAATACGATGTTGTTCTTTTCGTAATGGTTGCAAACTAAAATACCACATAGTTACCATACACTCATTTTGGATGAAACATTTCTATAAATTCCAAGTTCTTCTAATCCTCCAGTGAATTTTACCTGGAAGTGTATTCGATTTTTTTCGATACCTCTTCGGGCATTGAATCCGTCTTTTGGCCTGTAAACACGACAACTATGCAAACAAATTCAAGGACTGTATTTCTCGAATGTCATTAAGGAACTACTATTCCACTTCCATTTTCCTAGGTTGGGGAAACTTGAAATTAAACAAAAAACTTTAGGCTGAATAAAATCAAAAACTGAAGTGAAATTGACTATTAACGACTGAGCCAGTTGGAAAAAGGAGTGTGGTCAAAGTCAAGGAAGTGAAATGATATGTATGTCTGCAAAGAGGCTTGTCAACTAATGGTTTCAAAACCTTAAAGTGAGATTTAGGTAAATTGATCGAACATTTTTTTTTTACAAAATAAGGGGGCCAAAATCGCTATATGACTCGCGAAGAAGTGTCTCTAAGTATTTGGTGAAAAGAGCGCCAAAGTCACTGACCGCAGTCCTAACAATCCTCATTCGACCATTCTTGACAGCCAGATAGTGAGGTTGCCAACGCGGTGGATTCTCGCTGGCACATTTCATGGTAAAAACCTGATTTCGCGTTGAGGCTGGTGCCAAATGGCGCTGGCGCCCAAAGCAGTTGTAGTTTCTGTGGTCAGAGTCATCACTCCGAGTAAGTTTACAAGGAATCTGCTGCAAAACAAATTGTGGGTCCGAGCCGCGTCAAAAATGAATGTCGTATCCGTTCGGCTGCAGCTTGATCTCCATTTAAGTTCCATAGAAGTTGAAACCCGCCCCGATTAGGTTCCAGAAGTGTCATCGACCGAGTGAAAATTGAGCGTTCCTGACAACAGAAAAAAGCAAAATTCAGATGATGAAGTTAGGAAATGGCTTTACCTTGTGTGAATAGACCAACATTCGTCAGATTGGCTATTTAGGGCTAATACTCTTTTTCGCTATTATAGAACCGAATCGCGGGCAGGTGGAACAGTCTGCAGGCCGTGCGGACGTTAATTGCTTCTAAACTGGTATTTGCGATTAACAAAAGAGGCTTCAACCCTATTGGACTTCCTGATTCACTGTTTAGACCAAGCACCTAGAGCGAGATAGTCAACGGCGAATGCTTGCGAAAGGAAGTAACTCGTAACCTTTATCATTTCGCTCTCGATTTTTTCATGCAGCAGCGAAGAGCAGTGCCCACTTTTGGCCTTGCAATGGCCCTCATTCAGTATCGAATTAATCACTTCAATTACTTACCTGGCCGTAGTGCTTCAGAAACCGGCCAAGGGTTTTGGACACTTTTTCTTCTATTGACCTTTTGTCATCCTTTTCGAAAGTCCTTAATGAACATCATTATTTTCGCAAAAAAAAGTTGGCAGGCACCTCTGGAAACATACCTTGTACCGTTGATTGCAAGATAAGGTGCACCAGGCTTCATCACACTTCCTGGCACAAGTACTTCATCCAGAGCCTGATTCGACATGAAATCATTCCATATCTGTAGAAAATACCGTACTTTTGAATAACATCGGAGGATTACTGTTAATAATTTTAGTTCTGGGCGGAAGTGTAGTGGCAAGTGGCACGCTTACCACGCGAGCGGTGGGTCGTGAGTCGCCCGGGCCAACCAAGCCTTCCATCCCTCCGGGGTCGGTTAATTGGTACCAGACTTGTCTGGGAGGATAAAAAACACTGACTTGAACATCGGCTGGCCCCCGCAAGTCATTGTATAGGCCACATCGCATTCAAACGCCACTACGAATGTACAAATGGAAGTAGAATGCCAAAAAGGGATTGATCAACGCAAGTTATATCCTTTATCTTATTTA